GCCGGCTGTTGGCCCCGTCCCTGGCCCCGCACCCACAGCTACCCCGGTCCCCCCAATGGTGGGTGTGGCCCCGTGGGGGGTCCGGGGTGGGGCACAAAAACCCATTTTTGGGGTTTAGCCCACGGGGTGCGCGCTCTCGCTGGCCCCCCCCCCACTTTTTTTTTTTTTTTGGGGTGGGAAGCGTCCAGAGCCGGGGTTGGGGGTGCCCACCCTCGGACCCCCGCCGGGGCCTCGGGGCGGGGGCTCGACAACCCTGGTCACCGCTCACCAATTCCTCCACATGGCCTGCGAAAACCCGACTCCACCTACTATTGCTGTGTCCTTGATCGCTAACATCCCGAGGACTTGCTCCCAATGGACAAACCCGACGAAGCCCCCCCATCTGACCCTGCCCTCACCTCCATCTTGATAAGTTCAAGGATATTTTTCCTGAGTCCTTCCCTGTCGGATGACCCCTGGATCGTGGTGTATCTCATACCATTGATCTGGAACCCAGCCACTTGCTCCCAATGGACAAACCCGACGAAGCCCCCCCCTCTGACCCTACCCTCATCTCCATCTTGACAGGTTCAAGGACATTTTTCCTGAGTCCTTGCCTGTCGGATGACCCTTGGATTGTGGTGTATCTCATACCATTGATCTGGAACCCAGCCACTCTCCGCCGTGCGGCCCTCCATACCAACTCTCTGTCCCGAAAGCTGAAGAAATGAAGTGGCAGCTCAACGAACTCCTTGAAAAAGGATTCATTAAGCCAAGCTCCTCCCCCTTCGGAACTAGCTGCCTTTTCGTAAAGAAAGGCGGAACCTCAAAACTAAGGATGTGCACAGACTGCCACGCCTTGAACCGGATCACGATCAAGAACAAGCACCCCCTACCTCGGATCTCCGAGATTCTTGATCGCCTCCGTGGAGCCAAGTATTTTACCAAGATTGACCTCCGCAGTGACTTCCACCAGATCTGCATCCGCGAGGAGGACACCCACAAGACCGCATTCCGCTTTCGCTTCGGGCACTACGAGTTCCTCGTGATGCCCTTCGGACTCACCAACGGCCCGCCACATTCCAATCCATTATGAATCACATCTTCCGAGACCTCCTCAAAGTTTGTGTTGTTGTATACCTTGACGACGTCCTCATCTGTACCCCTCCTTCGAGTCCCACCTTCAGCACCTCCGCCAAGTCCTCTCTACCCTCAGAGAGGAAAAATTCTATGCGAAGCTCAGCAAATGCATCTTTGCTGCCTCAAGCGTAGAATACCTTGGCCACATCGTCTTTGTTGAAAGTCTCTGCATGGACCCTCGAAGGTCACCGTCGTTGAATACCCCTCACCCAAGACGCTATTCCAACTTCGCTCATTCCTCGGCCTTGCCAACTATTGTCGCCCCTTCATCCAGAACTTCTTTGACGTATCATACCCGCTCCACGAACTCACACGAAAGGACGAGCCCTTCAGCTGGAACGACGATTTCTTTCAACCTACTTAAGCAAACCATCACCATGGCCCCTGTCCACAAGATCGCCGACCCCTCTCGACGTTTCTACGTTACCACTGAGGCATCCGACTTCGCCATTGGAGCCGTCCTATCGCAGCACTTCCCTCGCGATACCTCTGAAACCCCCTCCATCAAAGACTCCCCCACCCACCTCGAGGCTCCACGCGGCAAGTACCCGATGGCCTTCGCTAGCAAGAAGCTCCTTCCCGTCGAGATGAGCTACCCCTCCAACGAGAAGGAACTCCTCGCAGTGATCCATGCCCTGTAAGTCTGGCGCCCGTACCTCGACGGGCAATACTTTATCATTCGTACCGACAACACCATAGTCTTCTCGATTCTCACTAAGACATCACGCCCTGCCAAGTCCGCTGGTGAGACTTTCTTGCCCAATTCAGATTCACATATTCCCGGCAAAAGCAACCACTTTGTCGATGCCTCTCCCGACGCCGCGACCACAAGCCCCCTGAGAAAGTCTACATCGCCGTGACCCATATCAAGCTCATCCCATCGCTCCATCACCGATATACACAAGGATACCTCTCATGCCCCGACTTCTCCACTGCTTCTACTGGGCTTCCGTACTCGCTGACGTCAAAGCTCACATTCGCTCATGCCCCACATGTCAAGCCGTCAACCCTTTGAACCGGGCCAAACCCGGCAAGTTACAGTCATTGCCTATTCCCACCCACCGTGGCAGTCCATCTCTGTTGACTTCGTGTGCGGTCTCCACAAGACTGACCGTGGCCATGACTGC